ACAAGAACTATTTACCACCTACAGAAAATCCCCTATGAAATGGGTTACTGAATAGTTGCTCTAATACTAGAGGTGTATAGCATGTCAGTACTGATCAGAGAGGGACGAACGTAATACCTTTCCTTCAGTGGAGATCAAAATACACTGTTAGCATTTGAGATCTCTAGATGTGCCAGAGTGTGGACATAACTGTAACAGGGGAAATTATATTACCAAACCAGTGCAAAACAAGGAATGTTTTTTTTGGAGTGGAGCGAATGGTGGGACAGGAAGATAACTTTGAGGAATGACTGCCTGCCAGCAGTTAACTTAAGATTTAGCATTTGACACAGCCCAGCTGAGAAGAAGGAACAGGAGGCAAAGGAGAAAAGCAAAGAAAGACAATGAAGGGGGCAAGATTCAGTGACAAAAAAAAAAAAAAAGCATGTACTCCCCCAATTTCCTGTTTCCACTAAAAATATGGATTGTTTCCTTCTGTCTCATACTGGTGACAGATTGTGCAAAATGTATGTGGAGAGCTGGCTGGAACATAGCTCACAGCCTGCCAAGGACCAAATGTGTAACAATTTCAAAATGACAGCAACACAGCCATTAAATATTTGATGAGGAAGTCTTTTAAGTCATAGATTTCAAATCCCCTTTTAAAGCAGGGGAAGTATTTTATATTAACTTTACTCATTGAGAAACGTAAACCGAGTGAGAATTTGCTTATCCAAAGAGTTGCAGGCTGTTACAGGCCAGAATTTAGAACAGAGCTCTCTTTTATGAAACATGCAATGCTTGTGATTAAACTGTCTACAAATTATGTTCTTCCCCCATAACATAGTTGTGTAACGTCTTCAATTCAGTCTTTAAATTGGAAGGAAAGTAAGGTTCATCATAGGAGAGCATCTCGTGGCCTAATAAAATCTCCCTTTTTTCCCTATTTGTGGCGTTTGATCTACACTGCTGTATTACTGCTTACTTACCCAGCTTGTTCCTAAGACAGCATTCACATCAGGTTATAGCAAAATATATCCTTTGAATGCAGGAGAAATTGGAGTGGGTTACGTTCTACAAACTCCCGCTGTTTTCATTGGGCTCGGCTACCTAATTAAAGATCAAGTCAACTACCCAGTGTTGAGATTCAGGATGAAATCTACCACATGCAAGGATGATGAGCCTATCCAGCAAGGAAAATTAAAGATAAAAAAAGTCAAAGCTGCTGAAAGAAAGGCAAGGCCACCCGGCAAAGTTTATGAAAGGCACACTCTCACTTGCTGTGTGTGAGCTGCATAGTGTTAAGAACGTAATCACCAGCGTACATTTTCAGACTGGGGGAACCAGTTCTCATTATGCTTTTGTCAGCTAGGAGAATGAGAAGGATGTGGTGTGAGCACTGGTCTGGATGCTGGAACTCATGAATTCCAACCCTGGTAATGACAAAAGATCACTATGTGGACAAGTCACTTAACCCCTCTGTGGTTCTCTTTTTTCAGAAGTGAAATGAGAATGGTATTTCCCACTCAGGAATGTGGAGGAAGATTAATTAATGTTTGAAAAGCCAGTCTTGCAGTGGGAAGAGTTATATAAGACCTAAGTGTTTATTAATGATCACCCTTTTATAGAAACTACTTCTTAGCACAGTGATATGGTAGATTAATAAAATGTGCTCTATCTGCAAAATAAGAGATCAGGGTGAATTCAGGAAGATTCAATCTGTTGGAGAAACCATGAAGTTCTGACTTAGCTTTTATTCTAGCAAAGTCTCACTGAAGGCAATGGTTCTTTTGTCAGGCTGATGCCATGATACCCTTTTTCCCCTGCAAAAGTCTGATTTGCTTGGGGAATAGGAAATCTCTGCAGTTTCAACTCATGGCATCACTTTGGACTTTTTCCATGACAGAACATGAATTTAAAAGGTGGAAAAGTCTAGACACCAAGAAAAAAAGCTGCTGGAAGCTGCACATCTTTGGTCCTACAAAGGATCTGCTGGGACTGTGTAAACAGAACTCCTGTGCCTCAGCTCTGGTTATAAAGCCCTCCAAATTCTTTTTTAGCTAGGCATGTCTCAGCTTGCTGCCACCCTTGAAGGCCATCTGAAAGAGTTTTGGCAGTGGGAAGGGCTCAGCTGCAGAATTACTACTGCCTCAGCTTATATCAATACTTGCTGTTTTTTTCCTGGTGAGCTGATACTTTTTGCTGGAGAAGGGCAAGTCTGCAGACCCATCTGATTTTCTATGCCATCCTAAATTCCGCAGCTAAAATCCCTGCAGGATTTTGTAGGGAATGGAGGCAAGGCCACAGCCTTGGGACTTCCTGCAGGGAATGCAAGTTTCTTTTTGTGCATTGAGAAAGATGCATGAGGCTATATTCAAGGACATGGTGCTTTTGCAAGGTAACAACTGTAGAGCTAGAATTGTGGATATGTTTTCAAGTAGAGCTGAATGAAATAAGTCTGGTAGAATTTTTTTTTTTTAAATATTTTTGTTTGAAATTTAAAACTCCCTGAAATAGGTAAATGGAACTGGGTTTTAGAGCTTATCTGATTTTGCAGCTAGGTTAGTAGTAACGCAGAATCAACCTATATAAGAGCAAGATACAGTTGGATAGTAAATATCATGCAGCTATTAACTCCAAGTGCCTCCTCCTTTGTCAGTGCAGCACTGATCAGCTGACAGTGCTCTGAAAATAATTTAAGTAGACAAAAGTTTTTGGGCAGTATCAGTAATTCATAGCAGAATAATTATTTTTTAACTTTCATCTTCAAACGCACACAAGTAAGGGGGATAGAGTAGGATACTTAGTATGATACTCAAATAATCTGCTAGAAATGTAAATCCATCTCTCCATTCTAAGAAGTGCTGTAACATTTGTGTAATTAGAGGGGGTTATCTTTCTGAGATAATTTAAAGAGTGAGCATTTTGTTTGATGATTACTTTTGTGTTACACTTTTTCCAATATCCAAAAAGTGGAGACAAAGTTGTACAGAACTGTGGATATCTTGCTGTTTGACTCCCTGCCAGCATCTGTTCCACTGCTTGTCCTTTGCTCTGTAGGACCGCAGAGGAGGAGTTTCCCTCTCCAGAATGCATTAGAAGAATACACAGCTGGTAATAGAAGCAGGGAGACCAAACCGACGTTTTGTGGAGAGCATGCATCTAAGAGCAGTCTAGTTGTTCAAAATGTCTGGCAATAGAGTTAGGTTTACATATGAAACGAGGGCAGGTGTGCATATGTATTTGGGCATTTTATTTCTCCCCAACTTTCCCCTCTCCCTCCTTCAGGAATTCTCATTTCTGAATGAAGGGCATTCAAAGAATTAAAAAAAATCTGTGGCTGAGGACACATTACATTTGGAAAACGCTTTTGTCCTGTTATGATAACTGTATGATCATCATCTTGCAGAATGGAGAAAACTGGGATAAAAGTATCTAATATTGCAGATCACTCATTTATATCATGAGGTTGTTTTACATGTTTCTAATAAGGCAAAGTATTTTCCTTGAGGGAGTTTGCAAATCAGCTAGAAGAGATGGAGAGTGAAATATGTTATCATGCTAGGTTTGATTTACAGTTTTCTATCATCTGTTCCAGAATGTGGTTCATCAATTGGCTTTTTGTGAGTAGTAACAGAAAAGTATAATAATGGAAGTTTAACTTAGATGAATAATTGGGATGGGTCTTTTTTGATTTTTTTGTTTATGGAGCCTTATGACATTCCCAGACTCAGGTGTCTGGGCAATGGGAAGTAAGTACCTATACACATTGCATTGCAGGATACATTTTCAGTATTGGGGCTGAGTGCAGTTTTTAGGAGTGGATGGTGACTTCCCCTTTGGAGATTTTTTCAAGGGGTCTAAAAACAAGACAGAGAAATAGAGACTGCCAGGTTCTGTTCCCTCTTCTGGCACCACTTCCTTTGCTTTCCTAAGCAAGCTGTGCAGGACAGACTACTGGGCATGACATTTATTCCTGTGTGAAATCCTTGAGGTTAATAAAGCTAATAAAGAGACTGAAAATGTGGCTGTGAGGCAAAATTTGCAGGAAGGGCACTAAGCTTCTTTGCCTTTGTTTCCTAATCTTTTAAAATGGCAATAATTGTATTTGGTAGATGAAATAGCTGTATAAAAGAAAATGGACGTTCAGAGACTGCTTTGAAGATGAAAAGAGATAACTTTTAGAGACAATAACATGAATGAAAAACTTCACAGAAGCTGAATTTGTATGTAATGAATCTTATGATGAAGCTCGTCCTTGTGGTGAGCTCCCTGTGAAAATGTAGACCTTTAATCACCCTGAATTGTTTGATCCTGTTCTTAGTATCTGTTGACTTAGTCCTAAAATAAACAAAAGTTCAGAAGGAGGCTTGTCTAAATAATACACACTGTATTATTTATTGAGATGCTGCATATGAAATTTACCTGGACAAAGAAGTATCGCTACTAAACGTTCTTCTAGCAAGAAAGTGTGGATGCTTTCCGTCTCCTTGTCTTCACTGGCAATCTGTGAATAAAGCTATTTATTACCCTTTTACAGAAAGCCTTTTTTTTTTTTTTTTTTAAAAAAACGTAATACTGTTTCCTTTTCTGAGAGATCAGTAATGAAGAAAATAATGTCCTTTCTTCTCAGTCCAGTTCCCATTTCTGTGCGTTGTGCTGCACCAACATCGGAACTGGCATTTCATTTAATTTTATGTGCAATCTTGTTAGTAATCTCAGCAGAGAGGATTAGGGCTGTATGAGCTGCGGAGACTGAATGTGCATTTCCCTAGGCCTGTAGGAAGGACTGCTGGCAGCATGGTGGGAAGAAAGCTTGTGTGGGGACGACCGTCTGCAGGGCTGCCCTTCTGTCACCTTTCACCAACATCGGTTGGAAGAGTTTCGGGCAGGCGCGTGGAGTGTGTGGTGCTCCTCTCAGGGGAGAAGGGAGCGTTATTTGAGAGGATGCTGCCATTGTTGCAGATCACACTGATGTTTCCATTCTCTCTTCCCCTCCCTCATATCTCCTTTCCTCCCAGTCTGTGGCAAGCGTTACAAGAACAGGCCTGGGCTGAGCTACCACTATGCTCACACCCACCTCGCCAGCGAAGAGGGTGATGAAGCCCGCGAGCAGGGGACTCGCTCTTCCCCTGTCCACAGAAACGAAAACCACAAACGTGAGTAGTATTTTCCCTTTGCCTTTGAGATCCTTTTCAGGGATGTTGCCTCCACCCTGTCTTTGCCTTGTGGAGGCTGGCGTGATTGCCTGGCTCTGTTGTGAGTGATTGGGACCTGGATGCTTGGAGCTAATCAGCCGCAGCTCACACAGGTGCTGGCTCAGCTAGTCAGGAATTCATTTCAAACCCAGCATTATCTCTGCAGCAAGTCACTTTTCCATTACTGCTCCTGTGGGGAGGAGGTGGCAAGGAGAGGGGGGAAAAGAAGAGATGCCCAACCTGCCCATCATCAAGCAGCCTCCCAGTGGCTGCTAACAGGGATGTCAAGGAAATACACATACTGTTTGAGGGGGCTGTCTTTGTTTTGCCTTTGAATAAGAGACATTTATCCATGTCTTGGTTTTTTAGGTATGAAATTCACAGCGCCTGTCCCCCTTATCCCTGCATCTCCTTCCCAAACGGCTTACCCTCAACTTAACCAAAAGCCACTTCTTAGTTACAGTTTGGGAAAATCTATGAAAAAGCATCAGTACTCATCTGCAAGGAGGATTGCTGGAACGTGAGAGGAGAGAAGAGTTATGCGCCTAGATTCCCCACACTGGTACAGGGCTGAAAGAAATCTTAGCGGTCTGTGTGGCCCTACTTGACTGTCCTTCCTGTGCTTCTTAGGCACAGAATTGAGAGTCAAGGAGACTGTTTTATTACTGTTTTTTGCAAGTCTCTAAGCCCTTGTTTCTCAGTTTGCCAGTGTGCAATACTATGAGATGGTTGCTTTCACCTTGGGATTTATGTAGATGCCTTTGTCCACTTTCAAAAAGTCCTTTCAGATCACCATGTGAACTGTGTCATTTTAGTTCAAAGTAATGAACAATGTGGACAAAGCAATAAAATGCTTATGGGGAAAAATATCCAGGCAAACACTTTCTAATACATTAAGAAGAACTGGAAGAAATATGGAAGCAGGAAAACATTTCCTTTCTAAGCAGGATAATTGATAATTGTCCCGAGGGAGGTGTGGGAGGGGGTTCCTTCCTCCAAAGCATCTGCTACTAGCCACTGTCTGAGCTTGAAGGGCCGTTTAGTGTGATCCCGTTTGGCAGTCCCTATGTTTCTGTCACTTTTATGCTCTACCTTTTAGTTATTCACATGTTTTGTAGGTTCACAGCAAAAGTAATTTTGACTCCTCCAGCTGTTGATAAACTTGAGCTGTCAATGCACCAAGAGCGACTGCTTGGGCAGGCTGGAGAACGTCAGTGTTCAGCCAGTAGCTTTTGTTTACTTAGCATTTACATCATCTCTGTTGTTTTTTTTTTTTTTCCCTGTGTCTGCAGTAGTCAGTAATAGTTGCATATATGAGGGGCATATTGCAAATCTGTATTGAATTAATATTGATAATGGCCTTGCACAAATGCCCGAATAAAGAAGGGTAGTGTCCCCTACCCTTCAGCTTATCATAGAGGCCAAGGACAATCTCAGTCCTTATGTTTCTGGTGCTTAGGAAATGATAGAAGTTAGCAAGAAGAGGAGCTAGAAAAGCTGTGGAAAGGATAGCAGCAGCTGGCCTTCGCCCATGGAAAGAAAGGTGTGCTCTGCACTATGGGAAAGGGTAGAGCAGGAGCTGCTCAGGCTTGTGTTCCCCCAGAGCTCCTGTGTGATGCATGTGGCAGAGGGAAGCTTCTGATGCACAGATCCCCATACAGGTAGAAGTTTAGGGCTAGTGGGGTAAATCACTCTGAGATCCAGATTCCTGAGCAGAAAGAATCTGCTTAACAGCTAGCCAGGAGCCAATGAGGTACGGGCAACAGCCATGCGAATATGAAGATCACCCCTGGGGAAAGTCCCAGATGCCGGAAGGTAACTCTCCCAAATGGCTTAGCTGTGTCGCAGTGGCTGTTTGTTCCTTTTTGCCTGTTTATTTGTTTACAGCCTTGAGCTCAGATCTTGCATCTTTGCTCTTTCACTTGACTATATTTAATTTATGCTGCCATTTATCTTCCATGTGAATGCTAATTGTCCACATTGCTAATGTGCAGTCATTAAATGGTCCCTTTGTACAGGGGGATGGTGGAGAGCCAGGACATCAGCTCCTTCCTCTCCCCTAAGAACTGCTAGGCATGTGTTATGAATTAGATTTGACAGGTCTGCAGTGTCGCAGGGCTCGGGCTTCAAGAATCCTCTCTGCATGGGCTTGGGGGGTGGGAGGGGGGA